TTTTTTTTGCGGGGCGCTGACGACTGTTGACCGGTAGGTCCCGACAAGCTGACCGGTCGGCCGGTCGGCAGCGGATCAATCAAGGGGTGCCGACTGTCGGCCTGTGCAACTTTGCAGTTGGGACTCGGGAGTAAAATGGGTGGCAGTGCCAGCCAAAACGAGGCTGGCGCTGGTTCGTTTTTTTTGGCACGCAGGGCATTTGTAGCCCCGGGCAGAAGTGGCTCGAAAGTAGCGGTCGGTTAATGTGCTGGTCACTCTGCTGGAAATTGGCAATAGTTCAAACTTCAAATAGCTTAATTCAGATATAAAAAGAAAAAATAAAAAGCAGCTCCCGAACTCCCACAAGGTAGTGATGTGTGACCTGGCATTTGCAACAGCTGCACCACGTAGACAGCTTTTGGGTGGCTGGCTGTGTTCCCCTGTTTGCATTGCAACTTGGTGTCTGGCGACGCTTAGCTCCACTGGCATTTATTTATGTCTTCAAAAGGAGAGTAGATGTTTGGGGCATACTCACACACTAAGACTTAAACCACTAGTACGTCCAAGATTCTTTTCTCAAATTTCAACGACCCGCACAGAATCAGTCTGCAGATCTCTGCAGCGTTCCGAGTACTGCTGATTGTCGGCTTGATCCGCACAGAATCAGTCACAGATTTGCTCAGATTTCCATGTGTTGAGTGTGACTGCTGTTTGCGATGATTGTGCCCAAGTCTCTATGCGATGATTGCAGTGCGGTAACTGACTCTGCTATGTTTTCTGTGTCCTGCGAGGGAATAGGTTGAACCAAAGGGGCAGGGACTGAAATTGGACACCGATCGGGCTTCCTTGAAAGACCAGGACAGACAAGGGCGGACGTAGAATTTGTCTACCGTCTTCACCGGAGTACAACGTATTGGTCATTATTGCTGTATTTACGCTGAAAGATACCCCAAATACAGCTATAATGACCATACGGCGTACGTTTTATTGAGGTGAAGACGGTACTACAGATCGGGATTTTCCAGAACCTGGGTAGGCCCAAGTTGTCCAATCGACTTAGGAAGGTCCGGTAGCATCCAACAAGAGGGTATGATTGTTCAGGGCCTGCACCTCCTTAGATAGTAGGCGTGCGTTCAGGTGGCCCTGACATTGAATTGCAGACTGCAATGATGATGTTCCTGCCAAATTGCGAGAACTTCCAGTATGCCTAGTCGTTGTAGCTGTATTCGGGCAACTTTCAGTCTAGATGCAGTGATAATGACCAGGCGTTCTATTCGGGTGAAGACGGTAGTGCACTGGTAGGGGGAGTAGTTACCCGACGACCAGGGAAGGGCTGGAGGCTGGGGGAGTGGAGAGCATATTACTCAGTGCAATGAGCAGGCCGGCACATCAGCCCGGCAGTCACGCTGCTGCTCCGCCCAGAGGGTGAGTTAGGTGCAGCTCCTGCTGAAGTGGTGGAGCTTGAGGGTGAAGAGAAAGACCTCCATGGCTATGGAGTAGTAGTAAGAGGCAGTAGGCCTAGGCTATGGAGGTAGAGGGAGAAGTACCTCAACCTAGGCTATGGAGGAGGGGGGAGGAAGAGATTCTGCTGGTACTGTGCTGGTTTGAGTATGCCCAGACTGGCACACAGTATTAATGTTGTCGTTCTGACTGTCTTATCCTTCCCCGCTGTTATGACACAGGTGCGATGGATGTGACAGGTGTGTCCATCTCGTGGCCACTGATGGGGATGGCAATGCATCACTCCCATGTATGGAGGCAGTAAAAGCAAATTACAAGGTGAACAACCTCTTCCCCTTAATCACACCACGCCACCCTCTGTGTGTGTGTGTGTGTGTGTGTGTGTGTGTGTGTGTGTGTGTGAGAGAGAGAGAGAGAGAGAGAGAGAGAGAGAGAGAGAGAGAGAGAGAGAGAGAGAGCACATCAGCCTTGCACAGGATTGATTCCTTATGCTGGTCAGTGCCTTTTGTTTCTGTAGCAAATATATGTAAGCTACTAAGTTTTGCTTGTCTGTTTAGTGTGTGAGAATTGCCGTGTCCATGGGTGTTGGTGTGCGTCCACTACAGCCTTGCAGCGGTGGGGTGGATATCCTGTCCGGTATGGTTCCAACTGTTGAACACCGTGTCCTGGCTGTAGTGGTTAAGTGACTTGGCGCTTGAGGCCGAGGTTGCCGGTTCGAATCCGTGCTTGCACGGAGGAGGGCTTAGGCCCAGATGTTTTACTGGTCCATAACTACTGTTTGCCAATGTTGCAATTTTTAATTTTCAATCCTTCTTCGCAATTTTGACTCATGACATTATACAAACTCCAGGGGCTTGGGGAAACTTGTGTGGACAACTACACCCCAGTAAATATTGATGGTAATTAGTAATCACTAATTACTAGAAAGGTTCCCAGGCTTCCCATTAAAAAAGAAGAAAAAAAGAAAAAAGAAAAAAAAAAAAGAAAGGTTCCCAGGCTTAGAGTCTCTGCATGTATGGTACCTGTCGTGGAAGGGACGAGTACAAGTAGTTTACGAGTTCGTACTTCCTGACCTGGGACCCATCCATGCATGCACGTAATCGAAATGGCACGCTTGACCACACGAGCCCGAGTCTCTTAAACCACGAGTACATGGGCACCTCAGGCCGCAGGCCTGACACCGCACGTTTCGAAGGCCCGAAACACGACGGTGGCCATTGATGATTTTCGTCAATGGTCCGCGCTGGCCCCAAAAGTTGCTGCGAGACTTTTTTTGCGGCGACGGGATCTTTCTACAAGGCTGGGGCCGTGTACTGGCGGTCTTTGTACTACAGCCATGACATGGTGTTCAAAAGTGGTACCACTTTCCTGGTAAGTTAAATCAGTCTGAGACTCTGAGTTGCATAAGTCCCCCCCCCTTTCTGTCCGTCAACTCGTCGACTGAGCCATCCCGCGAGCAAAGCTGTCCGTATTCCCCTGCCAAGCCGTAGCGAGAATCACAATATCACTGAACCCACTCATTTACAAAAAATGGGGGGAGTTATCTCTGTCCCACTTGGCCATTTTCCTGTGCAGAAATGCAGCGAGCTCAGTCTCGCCTCCTAGCTTACAACTGCTGCCCAGATACGTCCGCCGACGTTGAGGACAGTACTTATTCCATCGACACACAGTTCTGGAACCTCTTCCCGCAAGAGAACTGTGCAGCGCTACCGTCTTTCACCCGAATAGAACGCCCGGTCATTATCGCCGCATCTGGACTGAAAATTGCCCCAAATACAGCGATAATGACCGGGCGGTCTATTCGGGTGAAAGACGGTGGGCGTGAATGCAGACCAAAGTCTTTAACCTTGCGTTCATGGGAAGGAAGATCCAGTCCCACCCAGTTCCACCAGGCCCTGCCAAATTATTTGCCTGATGTCGGCTCAGGCATTGGTGTATACATCCTGTACCACCCATGCCACTTTCTCGCTCTCACCTTTGTGGACATCTCATACGGGTTCTGTAGTCCTAGCAAGGACACCGGGGTAATTAAAAAAAAAAGAAAAAAAAAAGAGGATAATGGCAGCAGATGCTGTGGAGTACATAAACATTTCTTCCTTCTACCGACAGCGGACCCAACCGTGGAATTAAGAGCAGACCCAGCCCTGGTGTGTTGTCTGAAGGGGTACCCCAAAGAAAGCCAAAGGAAAGATAGTTAAGAAAGGGATATAATCCTATCCCTTAAAGGAGCATTGGCTGCGGGGGGTGGTCGATGGTCCACCGCTCGCCGGATTCGGGGTCAAAGTTTTTTTTTTTTTTTTTTTTTTATTAGGGGTCAAAGTTTTGA